GTAGCTGAGAGGACTTAGGATGCTAGAGTAGCTGAGAGGACTTAGGATGCTAGAGTAGCTGAGCTGGAAGGTACCTGTCTTTGTCATTTAGTGCCGCTATAACAGAAATACCACAAGTGGATGGCTTTAAGAAAGAGAAATTTATTTTCTCACAGTCTAGTAGGTTACAAGTCCAAATTCAGGGCCCTGGCTCCAGGGGAAGGCTTTCTCTCTCTTGGCTCTGGAGGAAGGTCCTTATCATCAGTCTTCTCTCAGTCTGGGAGCATCTCAGCGCAGGAACCTCAGGTCCAAAGGATGCGCTCTGCTCCCGGCACTGCTTTCTTGGTGGTATGAGGTCCCCAACTCTCTGCTTGCTTCCCTTTCCTTTTATCTCTTGTAAGATAAAAGGTGGTGCAGGCCATACCCCAGGGAAACTCCCTTTACACTGGATCAGGGATGTGACATTAGTAAGGGTGTTACAATCCCACCCTAATCTTCTTTAACATAAAATTACAATCACAAAATGGAGGACAACCACAGAATACTGGGAATCATGGCCCAGCCAAATTGATAGACATATTTTTTAGGGGATATACTTCAATCCATGACAGCACCTTAGGGGTGATCTGGCCATCTGCCTCACTGTACGGATTTGAAAACTGAGGCCCAGAGAGGGGAAGGGATTGTTCCAATGTCACACAGCAAATTCGTGGTAGAGCCAAGACTAGACCCTGGTCCCTGACAACAAGCCCAGGGCTGTTTGCACTGCCCATCACAGCTCATTAGCGCATTCATCTAGTAAGCATTAAGCACTAATTTGTGCTGAGCAACAGGCAGCTGCACATATACATAAATGACTCTGATCTGAGGATAACAGAGGCTAGGGCTCTCCTAGAACTTGTATCAGTGCCGTGGGAGCCTGCAGCAGGAAGCAGTCAATTCCAGGCTGAGCCAGGGCCTGCTTCGTGGAGGAGGTGGTGACGTTTGAACTGGGCCCTGAAGAATGAGCAGGGAGAAGCCGGGAGAGGGCATCCTAGGCCGACTCAATAGCACCCATGTTGGGATTCAGGGGGCAGGTGTGTGCTGGGGGAGCTGCCCCAGGCTGGTTGAAAAGCAACAGGGAAAAGGGAAGGAGGTGGAGACACAGGGCCCAAAGGGAGTTAGGACCAAGCAAAAAGAGGAAGACAAGCTGGAAGACCAATTGTCTTGTCTGGCTCTTCTCAGAGACCTCCCAAGACCCCTGAGGACTCCCCTTTCCTGCCACCATTCTCCTGGTCAACTGAGGGTACACAGAGCAGCCCCTCCAGCTCCGCATTTCCAGAGCAACACACTAAGTGTTCCTTCTCCTGCCAGGCTGTGGTGGGTGCACTTTCCATAACAGCCACCGCTATCAGAGGCTTGGAGGGAGGCAGCGTGTGGGCCCTGGTCTGGCTCCGCCAGGCGACAAGCCAGAAGGATTCACCCATGTTCTCGATGGAAAAACTGAGATGTGATCTGGAAAAGCCAGTAAGGGGAAAAACCAGTATTAATACAGAACACGGAGCTTTAAGGGCATATGGGCTGGAGTCTGGGCTGGAGGTTTGGAAACCTAGGTTCTATGCCTCTCCCAGCCCTGACCTTGTCCCTGAGCAGCGCTGTTTCCCATCAGCCTCTGCCCCTCCGGGGGTCCCAGGGCCAGGTCAAGACAGGGGTCTGTTGGCGTCACTGGGTACAGAATTCCTTTCCCACAGCCCTCCTTCTTCCAGGCCTCCTGCTCCATGTCCGGAAACCTTGGTAGCCTTCCCCCACCTAGCTGGGTCCCACGGGGGGGATTTATGACTGCCACCTGCCCCAGAGTAATAAATCAGGACCAAGAGAATCACAGCCATCTCGTGTGGGGGCTGTATAAAAGGAGAAGGGCTCTGGCAGCCGCAAAGCTTCAGCAGATCCCAGAGAGAGCCCAGGACCAAGGTGAGGCGTGGACGGACAGAGGAGGATGGCTCGCTGGGGACTCCTGCTGGTGCTCTGGGGCTCCTGCACCTTCAGTCTCCCTGCAGACTCCGGCACCTTCAGAAGGTAACTCAGACCAAGAGAGGGTGGCAGGGGTGTGGGAGTTCCCACCTTCCCAACACCTCCAGCTTTCAGATATGTGATGTCATTCAGTCCTCATGACCAGCAGGGCAGGAGGGGTCTGGTCCCATTCAGAGAGGTCAGGTGACTTGCCCAAAGTCACACAGCCCATAGCTGAGTGGCGCTAGTCAGAGCTCCTGGGCACAGTACCATGTTAGTCATTGTGGGGGACTTACAGACGATCAGCCATGCCAGGGAAGAGCATGGTATAGTGGTTAAAAGGAAAGCTCCTACAGTTGGATTGTCTTGGCTTAGGTTCTGTTCCATAAGCAGAACTAACTAGCTCTGGACCCATGGGCAACTCACTTAACCTCTCCAAGTCTCGGTTTACCCATTTTTAAAACAAGGACAGTAACAGTACCTGCTTCTCAGGGTTGCTTTGAACATGTAGTAAGATCTCATTACCACCTGTAACGCCGTTAGCATGGTGCCGGGCGCACTGCAGGAACTCAGCTGTTATTAGTACCATAGGGAGGATTAACATAAAGGTTAAAAGCAAGGATTAAGGCAGCCCAAAGGAGGGAGGGGAAGGACCTAACACCCGTTGGTGCTCTGCGGGAACAAGCAATTCATTAGGGCTGGAGAAGGGGAGGACGCAGAGTTGGGAGAAGGCCTCATAGAGAAGGGGTTTTCGGTCTGGGGAGAGCAGATGGGACCAGCAGACCTGAAGGTAAGACAGTACTATTTAATAATAGTAATAGTTGCTAGGAGCCCTGGTGGTGCAGTGGTTAAGTGTTTGGCTGCTAACAAAAAGATCAGCAGTTTGAATCTACCAGCCACCCCTATGGGGCAGCTTTACTCTATCCTATAGGGTTGTTATGAGACAGAATTGGCTCTATGGCAATGGTTGTTTTGCATGTCTCATCTTAACATCCCCTTCTTACAGATGAGGACACTGAGGCTCAGGAAGATTAAGCTTGGACACACACCTGGCCTTTTGCTTCCAAAGCCCCTTTCCCCTGCCCCAAAGCTCCCAGAGAGTAACTGCTGGGTTAGGGGCATGGGGAGAGGAGACAGGCGCTTCCCAGCAGAATGTCTAGGCAGCGTCCACTTTGCCTCCATCCCCAGAGTAAAGGTAAATCCAATGCCATGAATTGATGTGACGCCATTTGTTACAGAGTAGAACTGCTCCATAGGATCTTCTTGCCTGTAATCTTTATGGAAGATCACCAGGCCTTTCTCCCCAGTGCCACTGGGTGGTTTCAAACCGCCAGCCTTTAGGTTAGTAGACCAGCACAAACTATTTGTGCCCCCAGAGACCTAGGGTAAACGCTGTTAGTTGTCATTGAGTTGGTTCCGACTCATGGCAACCCCGTGTGTACAGAGTAGAACTGCTCCATAGGGTTCTTCAAGGCTGTGAACTTTCAGAAGCAAATTGCCAGGCCTGTCTTCCAAGGTGCCTCTGGGTGGTTTCGAACCGTAGAGTTGATGGCAACTCATAGCGACCCCATAGGACAGAGTAGAAGTGCTCCATAGAGTTTCCAAGGAGTGGCTGGTGAATTTGAACTGCCGACCTTTTGGCTAGCAGCCGAGCTCTGAACCACTGTACCACCAGGGCTCCCAGGTAAAGGTAGAGGGGGCTAAAAATAACCTTCCTTGTTCTATTCCAAAAGAGAAGAGTCAGAATGGAATTGGCAAAGGGCGGCTAGGGAGTCAGGCTTTTGAAACACTTACTGGAATTTTACCACCTGCTATATGCAGAGCACCGTGCAAAGCACTATGGGAGATCTGAACACATGACCCCTGTTCTCAAGGAATTTCATTGCCTTACACATACAGAATTTACATTTAATGAGTGGTGGGCAGCTCATTTAATCTGTGCAGCAAGTCTCTGAGGTAGGTACTAGCATTAAACCCTTTTTTATAGAGGGCTCAGACGAGGCCCAGAGAGGGTGGGTAACTTGCTCAGAAGCACACAGGTAGTAAGGGAAGGTGCATGGCCTCAAGCCTGTGTTCCACAGCCATCTGCCCTCACCACACCATGAGCCATGGCCTCTGTCAGCATTACCAGCTGCACACCCTAACTGGAATTCTTGGGAGACCGGAATCCTTAGGAGACTGGAATCCTCAAGGCAAGTTTCCTGGAGGAGGGGGTGCACGCTGGGCTTTGAAGGTTTAAAGAACTGGGATTTTCTGAGAGCGGAATGGCAAAAGTCAAGGCCCAGAAAACTACAACAAGATACAACTTCACCCCCACTAGGACAGCTGTTATTAGAAAAACAGAAAATAACAAGTGTTGGCAAGGATGCGCAGAAATGGAACCCTCGTGCACTGCTGGTGGGATTGTAAAATGGTACAGCCACTGTGGAAAACAGTTTGATGGTTCCTCAAAAAGTTAAACATAGAATTACCATGTGGCCTCATAATTCTGCTCCTAGATATACACCCAAAAGAACTGAAAGCAGGATGCACAGAGATACTTGTACACCAATATTTATTGCAGCATTAGTCACAACAGGCAAAAAGTGGAAACAACTCAAGAGTTGGTCAACAGACAACGTGGTACGTGCATGCAATGGAATACTACTCAGCCATGAAGAGAAATGAAGCTCTGATACATGCTATGACAGAGATGAACCTTGAAAACACTATGCTGAGTAAAATTAGTCTGACACACAAAAAAATGTTGTATGATCCCATTTATAGGAAATTTGTAGAACAGGCAGATGCATAGAGACCAAAGTTGATTAGTGGTTAGCGGGGTGACCGGGAGAGGGAAAGCGACGTTATTGCTTAAAGGGCACTGAGTTTCTGTTAAAGGTTATAAAAAATTGGAAGGATAGTGGTGATGGTTGCCCAATATGGTGAACGCAATTAATGTCACTGAATTGTGCACGTAAAAATGATTGAAATGACAAATATTTTCATCTATATATTTTACCACAATAAAAATTTTTTTAGAAAAAGGCCCACAGACGAAGGCTATTTGGAGTAAAGAGTGGGAAATATACCCTCTTTGGGGTAAATGTCTTTTTTGACCCTCCATTTCCCCATCTGTAAAACGGGAATAATAAAACTACCCATCTCCTGGGATGGATTGGGAATCAAATAAGATCATAGGTGTGAAAACACTTTGTGAACAGTAAACTGATATAAATATGAGATCATTTCCATTTTAATGTTAGGATGACAGGCATTAAAGTTGAGTTCATGTTCATGGTCACAATGGCGGATAGTAAGTAGGATGCATGGGGTATAGGAAGGAAAGGATAGTGGGGGAAAGGAGGATTTGCAGCTGAGAAGAAAGAAGGAATCATAGATAAGGAAAGCCTACTGCAAAGTTAAGGTGGCTTCAATCCTGGGACCCCACCCCCTGGGGACATCTTCCTCCAGGATTTGCAAATAGCCTTCATGCCAGAGCCCAGGGGGCCCTGCATGGAAAGTAGTGGCAGACACACTGCTTGGAATCCCTCCTCCATCACTTCTGAGTTACCGTCCTCTCTCTGAGCCTTCGCTTCCGCATCTATAAAATGAGGACAACTGTAACTAGTGTGCAGAGTTGTTATGAGGGTTACATGGGGTGGGGGGGTGTACCGTGTTTTGCATTCACCCAATAGCAGCTTAGTATCCTGTGAGTTTTCCAGGTCTCTTTAATTCTGCCTCCCGAAGGTGATGGATGGGACTGTGTCTAGACAAGAAGACCTATTTTTCCAAGGACAAGGTGCACAGGCACCCAGGAGATGCTGACCTCCCTCCCCAGCCCAGTTCAGTTGATCCACTCCACCCCCTTAGACCTTGGCTGGTGCCTGCCCCCAGGTTTCCAGGTGCCCCTGCAGCCTGCTGCGGCCATCTGCTGTCATCTACCGGCCCCATGTGGACCTGCGTCCTCCTGTCCAGCATTGAGCGGGCACTCCCCAGCCTTCATCTCCCCAGAGGAGATGTCATTGCATGTTTTCTCCTCTGCTTCCCCACCTGCTGGAATTCCTTGGAGGCAGTGATGATCTTCTTTGTTTTTATATCCCCAGTACCCAGCACAGTGCAGGCACAGGGTAGACGTCCAACACCTAACTATGGAACGAATGAATGAACAAACAGCCTTGCAGTGATGGCTATTACAGACAACAGGAGGACGTTAGTTGAGGGTTATTTAATATCAGCGCAGGTGACACATGGAGGCTTGTAAATTCTCCTTCTGAGTCCTTAGGGAACACGAGTGATTCTTAGGTGCCTGGGGTAAGGCTAGGGGTAGTTATACTGGAAGCAGGGGTGGCCTTAGGGACTCTGCCATTATGGTAGTAGTTCTCTACTACCAGTAACCAGTTGCCATTGAGTAGATTCCAACTTATGGTGACCCCATGAGTGTCACAGCAGAACTGTGCTCCATAGAGTTTTCAATGGCTGATTTATTGGAAAGAGATCATCAGGCCTTTCTTCTGAGGTACCTCTGAGTGAAGTTGAACCTCCATCCTTTCGGTTGGCAGCTGAGCGTGGTAATCGTTTGCACCACCCGGAGACTCCATGGGAGAGTACAGGCCTGTTCTGTTTGTTTCCTCCACCCTGGGCCAGGATCTTCCTCAAGAAAATGCCCTCAGTCTGGGAAAGCCTGAAAGAGCAAGGTGTGGATGTGGCCAAGCTCAGGGCTGAGTGGAGCCAGTTCACCAGGAGGGTCTCCCTTGGCAACGGCACCTCCCCCATGATCCTCACCAACTACATGAATGTGAGTGCCTGGCTCGGCTCCTCTCTCCCTCCCTGCCTCCTTTCTCTCTTGGACCTCAGGCTTTCTTTTCCTGCAAGACCCACTCTTTCCATGCTATCTTTGACTGAGGACCTGAGGAACGTAGAACTCCCATTTTACAGCTAGAAAGCCTGAGGCACAGAGGGCAGAGGGAGCTCAGGGACCAGTCAGGGGCAGGGTTACATTTCGAACTCAGGAATCCAGGCTTTTGGCCTCAAACCCAGGTGTCACTATTGGATGGGGAGGGGTGTGTGATCTCAGGTGGGGGTTTCTGTGACCTGGCTTAGCACAGCTTGAGATATGGCTCCAGTGGCACCTTCAAGGGTTGGGGCACCTTCCTGCTTCATTTCCGGTGTGTTTATTTTGCCCTCTTGTCTCACTTCTCAGAAGCCATAGGACAGTGCTAAGCCTCCCACCCAGTCCCTGCTGGAAAATGGAAACCCAGAGAGGCTGTATGACCTGCCTCATCTCACCAGGAAATCCAAGGCTGGAGCCAGGCAAGACCCCCAAAGCCCAAGGCTCCCTCAACCCTTCCAGCCGCCTCTTTTTTTCATCCCTCCAGACCCAGTACTATGGCGAGATTAGCATTGGCACCCCACCCCAGACCTTCAAAGTCGTTTTTGACACGGGTTCGGCCAACCTCTGGGTGCCCTCCAGCAAATGCAGCCCTCTCTACACTGCATGTGGTAAGACCCAGGCTTTGCTGCTGCTCCCCAAGCCCCCTGACCCTGCCATGCTTAGTTAGTCCTTCCTCATGTCTAGCTAAAATTCCTCCTGCTGCCATATAAGCTGCTTCCTCTCTGCCTCTGCTCCCAGCGACCCTGGGAGGAGAGAGGAAGATGTTTCCCATTTTCCTGATATGGCCACTAAGGTTAAAAAGCAGGCTCCAGGAGCCCCTGGCCCTTTCCCCGTCTCACTGAGTCTGAGAGAGGACTGAATTCTCCAACCCAGCCCAGGCCCTTGGGCTCCTCGCTCCCCATCCTTGGTCAACAACCTCTCATTGACTGCTTACTCCTTACCCAGAATCTTCTCTCCATTGCAATGTTAACAATTATTTAAAATGTCCCATTTGAGATGAAATGCTCAGGGATATGGGCATAACAGGGGCCCAAGAAGCACAGTCCTTGATTGATGAAACACATTGGCCAAGCCCTTGACCTCAGGGTCCCCCATCGCTGCACCTAAGCTAAGTCTCCAACCACACCAGGCATACCCACTACATGGCCTGCCTCCCAGCCCCCATGCCGGGGCCTCTCTGGACAGACCAGAGCCTATGTCCCTCCGCCAGAGACTCACAACCGCTATGACTCCTTGGAATCCTCCAGCTACATGGAGAACAACACGGAATTCACCATCAACTACGGATCGGGGAAGGTCAAAGGCTTTCTGAGCCAGGACGTGGTAACTGTAAGTGGGGCCACCCCAGGTCACCTGACCCCTGTCCTTCTGGTCCTCAGGGTGGGCTCTCCTGTCCCTCCAGGACTCATCCTAGGGAGAAGGGGCACTCCAGCCCACCTCTGCCTGAGATGTGACGAACACTGCTCTGCTGCTTTTAGCTGGTGCTGCAAAATAGCAGAGCCTGTGATGGAGCAAAGCTGAGCCGCTGGCTCAAAGTGGGTGATTTATGGGAGGTTTTACATTTAACTTGCATGTCAGCCTGGTCCCAAGCCCCACAGCCTCCAGTCAAGTAACCTGCCTGCCTAAGGTCACCCAGCTCCAGCTGGGCTCTCACCCAGACCTTGGACTGGCACCCAGGGTCAGAGTCAGGATCAGGAGTATGACTTTATGGTCACAGTTAGTTTTAGGGTCAGACATGGGTTTTAAGGTCATAGGTGACATTAGGATTTGGGATAAGGGCCAGGGCCTGGTTTTTTGTTTGTTTTCTTTTTCATTTGCCCTGTGTCTGACCTCTTCCCCACTCTGGGGTTTCTCCAGCCCCTGTGGTGTCAGCGTTAGAGGGAGGGGTCCACATGGAACAGAGAGGGAATGACTGTGTGAGTCTTCACCACCCCCCTTGCCTGTGAAAACACATAAAAGGGAACAAGAAGGGCAGGCCTGGCTGTGCTGAAGAATCCTTAGCCATAATGGGAGAGGGGGCCGAGGCCCGTTCCTACTGACGTGAAAGCTGGGCCAGTGGGGAGGGGTACGGAAGTCCTCGGAATCTTTTCTATGACTGCTTGGCAGTACCAGCTTCTCAGCCTCTGCCCCTTCCAGTCACTGGGCAATCCCCGCTCTCTTTGGGCCCCACAATTCAGATGTATATTGGGAGAGAGGACATGTTTGTGGGGTTGATGAAAGGATTTTGTTGGACTTGCCCCAGTTGCTGTGCCCTGGAGCGTCTGTGGCCCTGGGGCTCCCATTGTAGAAGCCTAGACCAGACCCTGGCCAGGGGGTGGGCAGCAGGCTCAGTCTCCTGTGGTCCTTCTTCTCACAGTTGGGCGGAATCACGGTGACACAGACCTTCGGAGAAGTCACGGAGCTGCCCGTGATACCCTTCATGCTGGCCAAGTTTGATGGGATTCTGGGCATGGGCTTCCCTGCACAGGCCGTCAGGGGGGTCACCCCTGTCTTTGACAACATCATCTCCCAGGGGGTGCTAAAGGAGGACGTCTTCTCTGTGTACTATAGCAGGTGGGACCTGGGACTCCAGGGGCCAAGGTGCGGGAGGGGAGAGGAGGGAAAGGAGGGTTTGGGCCAGGATTTTGATGTGTTCATGATTAGGTGGGATACAATCAATATCACAGATCTAGATATTGATCTATCTATCTATCTATCTACATATATAAACCCTGTGCTGTCGAGTCAATTCCGACTCATAGCAACACTATAGGACAGAGTAGAACTACCCCGTAGAGTTTCCAAGGAGCACCTGTGGATTCGAACTGCCAACCTTTTGGTTAGCAGCTGAACTCTTAACCACTGCGCCACCAGGGTTTCCACACTGATCAATACGGTAGCCACCATTTACATCTAAATTGATTAAAGTAATATAAAATTAAGCACTCAGTTCCTCACTTCAAACACGCAGCAGTCACGGTGGCTCATGGCTACCGTATCGAACATTTCCATCATTGAAGAAAGTTCTATTGGACAGTACTGATCTAGAACAACAGGATAATGCAGAAAAGGGGTGATGAGAAATGAGGCACTGCTGTGACCTGGGGACCCTCCCCGTGAGGGCCCATGACTCCTCACACAGAGATAGCCACCATCATTCACTTGTTCATTCCTTCATTTGTTTGTGGTTCTTTTTTTTGGCTCACTTATTGAGTCAATAAATATTGGGCGCCACGGGCTGAGCACTGTGCTAGGCTCTAGGGGTACAGCAGAGAACTCACTGAACAAGACAGAACCCTGCCCCCGTAGAGCTTGTTGTCTAAGAGGGAAGTCACAACACATTACAATGTGATGCATGTTACCAGCCCACAGGGAGCGCAGGGCTGACAATTGTAGAAGCTCTTCAGTTCTAGGCTGAGCTTCTGTGCAGTTCAGCAGGCCTTGGGGGAACTGTTGTCAGCTTTTGAGCAGTGTTGTGATCTGCTCCAAGCTACTGGGCTTAGAAAGATAGTATTAGCTGGAGACAAGGATCATAAGGATAGGGACCTGAGGCCTGTGGCAGTGAGGATGGAGCGGAGGGTCGGAGTCTAGAGAAACCTCAGAGGTCAGATGGAGAGGATCTCTGGTTTGGTGAGAGAAAAGGAGGCATTGAGAAAAGGTCACCAGTTGGTGGCTCTGCAGTCAGAGAGAATCTTGGGAAGAGCCATTTTAGAGAAGTGGTGGGGTAGGGCCAGATGGCAAGCAGTTAAGAGGTAGATGAGGTGTAAGGAAGTAGAGCCCTGTGAATGCAGGCTGCCCTCAAGAAATGCACCAGGGAAGGAATGGGAGGTGGGGGCGTGGGGAGAGATCCAGAGAGAAACAGGGGAAGGAAGGGTGGGTATTTTTAAATCTAAGGGATGCCTGAGCATGCTTGTAGGTGGAGGAAGAAACCCATGGAAAGCAAGAGTATGAAAACGTGGAAAAAGAGGAGATTAATTGAGGGCGCAGGAGTCTGGAGGCCATGAGAGAGATGAGCATCCAGCAAACAGGAAGAAGGTGGGCCTCCTTGAGGAGAGCGCCTGCCTCTTCCTTTACTGAAGGGAAGAGAAGGAGGGAACATCCAGAGAGATCTTGAGGTGTCAGAGAGGGGCAGGGAGAATTTGTGCTAGTATATGCACATATGTACTGGATTTGCAAACATGCAATTACACTTGCACAAAACACCACGTGCACACCTACACACACATGCACACATGTGTATGTCCACACGCCTCCTATTATGAGTGCTGGAAACCCACATCACACACACATGCACACTCTGCAGACCAGGTCTAAGGTGGCCCCTGAGCCGCGAGAGGCATTGTGCAGTGTAGAGGAGAGGAAGGCCTGGGGGATCCACTTTGGACTGGGCACTAGGAGTCCCAACTCGTTAACTCACCACCACCTGGGTGACTTCAGGGAAGTGACTTTGCCTCTTGGTTACTCCACTGCCTGAAGGGTAAATAAGAGTGAATAATACCCACCCTGTCAAACAACAGGCTGGTGAGGCTTATCTGAAACAAAGGCCTCCCTTTCTGCGCTCTCTCTTTCTCTACAGAAATTTCAAGTAAGATGAGCCATCTACTTGGCCCTGACCCTCCAGAACTCCCTGAGCACCTCACTCAGAGTCACACATCTCCCCCACCCAAAACTCACCTCACCTGATGCTCAAGTTCTCTGCCCCTCCCTGCTGCTCTCCTCATGCCCCCACCCACCCCTCCCTCACAGCCTTTCCAGAGTGCCTTCCAAAACACCTGGTCTACCACCAGCAACCCAACCCCAAGCTAGGGAGGGCCAATTTGCGTCTTATTTGCATTCTACTCACTGTCCACATGCCTCTTCCTTTTCTGTGACCTCTGGGGATGCTTTACTGGGTGCAGCTGGACTATCCTGGACAAACCTCTGATTGGGCTTGGGGAAGGGCAAGAAATATGGAGAAGCAGTATGTTCTGCATGCTTCATTATGACAGCTTCCAAGCCTTGCTGTCTCCCTACCTTCCTCTACACCCTGCACCCTTGGCCAACTTTCCCTTGTTCTTGGGTTGCTGGGTCTCCGTCTCAGAAGATGAGAGCTTCTGATCTTCGCTTTAGGAATTCCCACTTGCTGGGAGGCGAGATTATGCTGGGAGGCAGCAATCCCCAGTATTACCAAGGGAACTTCCACTACGTGAGCCTCAGCAAGACTGGCCTCTGGCAGATCAAAATGAAGGGGTCAGGAAGCCTCGACCCTCTCCACGCCCCACAAATGCTATGCTGCTTGGGCTTGGAAGGGGGGTGGGGGGAGGGGCAGTGCCACCACCCTGCCCTCTCCCTGGATGCAGCCGCTTCTTAAGTCACTGCCAACATCTGTTCTCTGCCAGCTCTGCTCGGCATGAGGGACCCCTTGACACTAGGGACAGAGGGGGATGAGGCTAGTGAGAGGACGTAGAGGGTCACAAAGCCACACGCCGACGGAGGGGGACAGCACCTTCCCTCCTCCTGCTCACTGCCTTACCCGCCCCCCTCTGCCCGCAATGCATCACCCCAACCATCAGCATAGCCTCCGATCACCTGCCCTCACCCAGGAAAAATATGCTGCCTGGTGGCGTCCCATCAGCCTTTTGTCTGTCTGTCTGTGGCCTCCCCCAGGGTGTCTGTGAGGTCTGCCACTTTGTTCTGTGAGGAGGGCTGCATGGTCGTGGTGGACACCGGCGCGTCCTTCATCACGGGACCCACCAGCTCCCTGAAGCTGCTCATGGAGACTCTGGGGGCCAAGGAGATGATGACGAATGAAGTAAGCCACCCACACAGAAGCTGGGGGGTGCCCCCTGGTCCAGGGCCCAGGTCACCACAGGCTGCATCAGGTCCCAAACATGGCCATGTCAAGCCTTCCCTTCCTGACCCCTCTCACACCCTTCCCACATGGGCTTGGCCCCCAGGGAGGAAGGGCACTGTGCCCAGCCCTCTCCAGAGGGGCCGGGCGACAAGCACAGGGCCCCATGTCTGCCGAGGGGCCTCCCGCACTCAGAGGGGCTTCTTCCCCCACCAGTACGTGGTGAACTGTAACCAGGTGCCCACACTCCCTGACATCTCCTTCCACCTCGGAGGCAGAGCCTATACGCTCACCAGTGCGGACTATGTATTACAGGTGAGGCTCGGGTCGGCTCCCTGGGCCACAGGGAGGGAGGGTGGGCAGGGACCTTCAGAAAGGAACAAGTCACAGTGCACCCAATGCAAACCTGGCTGCATGCTGTAGTCGGGGGAGCTTTTCAAAATGCCCAGGCTGCAGCCCATACCTGTTAAATCAGAACTTCTGGGGGTGGGACCTAGGAGCAGTGTCTTCTGCAATAATTTATTTTTTGTAGTTGTTGAAAATGTACATAGCAAAACATACCAATTCAACAATTTCTACATGTACAGTTCAGTGACATTGATTACATTCAAGTTGTACAACCATTCTCACCCTCTACCATTAACAGGAACTCACTGCCCTCTAAGTCTCTTCTCTAACCTTTCGAGTCGCTGATGTCAATTTTGGGATCGGTGTTTTTAAAACTTCCCAGGTGATTCCAATGTGCGGCCAAGCTTGCAAATCACTGTGCTTCTCCCTTTACTTCCATTTTCTCATCAAATGTTCCCAGTAATCCTATGCTTGGGATGTTCTTGCCCCTTTTTATACTCATTAGGCTTGTTGTTCTTGTTAGCTGCTGTTGAGTCAGCCCCTGACTCATGGCCACCCCATGCACAATGAGATCAGACCGTTGTGATCCATGGGGTTTTTACTGGCTGATTTTTTTCAGAAGAAGATCACCAGGCCTTTCTTCCTCAACAGGCTTAGAGAAGCTAGATCACTTGACTAGGATTAGAAGCCATGTTAGACCATAAACTCTTGCAGGGAGTATTGTGCCTGATGCATTGTCTGCCCAGGGGTGCAACCATGAGGGGTTTTGGGTGAAATGGCCAGGACATGATGGAGGCTCATTGTGAATGGGGGAGATGAGGGAGCGTATTGCTGAAGACGGCTGCTGGGGTCAGGCCAAATGAAGGGAGATGGTTGTGAGCTGGACAGTGGGGAAACCCTCCTGCTTCCTGCCAGGACCTCGACAGTAGTGACGATGACTTGTGCACACTGGCCATCCATGGCCTGGACGTCCCACCGCCCACTGGGCCCCTCTGGGTCCTGGGTGCCAGCTTCATCCGCAAGTTCTACACGGAGTTTGATCGGCGTAACCATCGCATTGGCTTTGCCCTGGCCCTCTGAGGCCCTCTGCTGCCTGGGCAGGCCCTGTGCTCATCCCCAGCCTGAAGCTAGTGAGCATTTTATGGGAGCACCCTCTCCCTGGGCTTGTGCCCTCCTGCAGGGCGCCGGGAGTGGAACTGTCCTTGGACACCGGCCTGCCCCCAGCACTGGCCCTTCCCTGCTTTGAGAACAAACAGAATAAAGACTTCATGTTTGCAACCCCATTGCATCTGGGTTCACTGGGGTTTGGAACAGAGCCGGGGGCGGGGGGCAGCCGTGTGATCAGCTGCAGACAGGAACATGACACAGACCAACAAACTACACATTGACCCACATGCTAGGCTCCTGTGCACAGGGACAATGTCATTGCCGTTGTTCAAGGTCAGCAGGGCTCAGGGGGAGTTGTTTACACAACCTCAGTGGGGAGTTTGCAGAGAGCCAGCCCTGTGCCCCTCCAGCCCCTCAGGGAACCAAGCTAATGCTTCAGCAATAGACTGTGGGCCAGAAGGATGCTCCCAGCTCGTGGGAACCAGCCCCTGAGCTCAGGCTCTGCCCTGCTGAGCTAACCCGCTCTGCCTCTCATGCACTGCCCTGTTCTCATCCACTACAAATCCCCCTGCCTCCATCTCTACCCCATGTAGCCATGTACACAGGCAGTCCAAGGCCCCACCACCTAAAAACACAGGACAGCAAAGATCCTACCAATACTCCCATTTCAATGTGGGGAAACCGAGGCCCAGAGATTGGAGGCATTTGCCCGAGATCATCCAGTGAGGTAGTGAAGAATCAAGACTAGAACCCAGCACATCTGACTCTGGTCCTGGGGCTTTCCAACTTTGTCCTATCACATGTACAGAACTTCACACATGGTGGTACAGGGTCACATGCACACAGGTGCATACACTGCTATCCTCCATCTCATGGAGCTGGGACTCCTCAAGCTGAAGTCTCTTCTCCTACTCTTGCCCCTTGGGCTGGCTGCAGGGTTGTGTAGCTTGGGGAATGAGAGGGCAACATCTACCTGAAGAAACTGAAGCTGTCCCTCTTCAAGGGCGCTGCTCATCCCTCTTGACCAAACAGGGTGAAACTCTGAGCTGGGCCTGACCAGACAAAAGAAAACTTCGGACCTTTAGAATTGCAGCCTCCTGGGATTGGATGGGACCTCAGGGCTCCTCAAGGGTAGGATTCCTGCAGGCTGGAGCTGTCTACACCGTTCCCATGCAGAGCCAAGAGCCTGGGCCTGGGCTCAGGATACTGGACTCAGCCTTGTTTCCACCGCTGATTCTCCATGTTCCCTTCTGCCTGGGCTTCCTTCCCTCACTGCAAAAGGAAGGGCTGGAGTCAGTGTCCTTTCCAGCTGACATTCTGGGGCTCCATTACCTTAAGTGGGCAGGTCTCCCATCACCTCCTATGCTGTCCAATATGAGAGCCACCAGCCACATGTGGCTGTTTACATTTAAATTCATTGAAGCTAAATAAAATGTCGTACCAGCCACCTTTCAAGTGCTCAATAGTTACATGTGGCTAGTGACCAGTCCTTTGGACAGTGCAGAAACAGAGCTTTCCCATCATTGCTGAAATCCCATTGGCAGAGCTGGATTCTGGACAGTAATGAGCAGAGGGCCCTTGTGGTTGAGAAGCTCCTGAATAGGCCAAAGGGGCAACTTGGGGAAATAGAAATGGGCCCCTTCTCTGAAGGCACTTCTCTGGGTGAGGCTGTAATAGATCTGGTCTTCTAGAAAGAAATCTCCTATGGAGCTGGTGACTGAAGACCCCAAGGCAAAACAGAAGAGTGGGTGACTGAGACCTTACTGGCCCAGAGGGTTGGCAGCCAACAGAGTCCTGCTCAGGAGGTGACAGAGAAGGACAAGACGAGAGTCCAGCTCTCCCTAAGCTGGCTGGCTTCTCTCCACGTCTCCTTCTCCCCACAGCAACTCTCGCGTGGGACACCTTGTCCCCACCTAACACACGCTCACACTCCATCTCACACACATATACTCACACTCACACACGCTCTCTCTCTCTGTCTCGCACACACACAGCCATCACCTTAACCTGTTTTCGGCCCTCCCTAAGGGCAAGCACAGGGTCTGCCCCACCTCCATCCCCCTAAAGTACCCATTGCCATGGAGTTGATTCCAACTCACAGCTATCCTATAGGACAGAGGAGAACTGCCCCATAGGGTTTCCAAGGCTGTCATCTTTACAGAAGCAGACCGCCACATCTTTCTCCTGCGGAGCAGCTGGTGGGTTCAAACAGTCGATCTTTGGGTTAGCAGCTGAGCACTTAACCACTGCGCCACCAGGGCTCCATCCCCCTATAGCCCAGCAAAGCTCTGTACTCAGGGACACCTGCTTGCCTGCTACCTGCCTCCAGTCAGACTCCCAGAATGCGAGGGAGGCATTAAGGATTATTTAATGACGAAAAGTCAGTCTAGCCCAAAATCTTGGCCTAAGGTGTGGCGAAACGCTGTCAAGCCCCAAAATGTTCAGTAGTTTGTCAGGAGGCAGTCCAGTATGCTGGACTGGCACCCCTTCCCCCATACACACACACACACACACACACACACACACACACACACACACACACCACCAATATCTCTTCTCCATCAAGCACCTGTGTGTCGCGTGGGTGGGTGGGGGCGTAGGGGGGTTTCCTGCAGGGAAGAGCCTTTGAGTCGCAGCAGAGGCCGCTCCTGCAGAGCCTGCTCCAGGGCTCCAGGGACTGGGGGCAAGGAGCAGGGACACAAGTGGGGGGAGGGTACAAGCTGACTTCTGGGAGCAGCTGGATCTCCATACTTCAGGATGGGGTGTAAGCGCAGGTAAAGCTCAACCTCGCCCCTGCCCTAGTCAGCGCCGAGAGAGGCTCCAACCTAGATGGGCCCCCTAGCAGCTTCCGAAGCCAGGCCAAGCCCTCCGGCGCGGGTCTGGGTAGGGGCGGAGCCTGCGCAGGCCCCACCCCCGGCGTCACCAGCCTTCCCGGGGGCGTCTCCTTCGCCCGGCGCTCCAGGTAGCGGTCGCCCCAGCTGCCCGCAGCCGCAGCCGCCGCTCCTGCGCGGCCGGCCGGCCGAAGCAAGGGAGGAAGGGGCGTTCCCGCAGCCCCCGCCCCGCGGCCCGCCGCCCGTGATGTCACAATCCGGGCGGCCCCGGCGTTCCCGGGCCGGCTTCGGGTGGCGGGCTGCGCGCTCCTGAGTCATGGACTTCCCCTGGCCCCTCCTCTACCACTCCCACTCGCTCGCCGCCGGGCCTCCCGGCCGGGGCTAGCGCTCGGCGGCGGCTCCGAGGGGGCGGGGCGCTGGGAATGGCTGTTCCCCCTTCGGCTCCGCTGCCGAGCTCGCCCTTTTACCTGAGGAGGCAGACGTCTTGCCCGCAGTGCTCATGGGGCATGGAGGAGAATGCGGTGGCCAGTGTGGGCTGCCGGGAGCCGCCGGGCCCCCCGAGGGCCGTCGCCGTCCCGTGCTTCGGCATATCGGTCGACCAGGACGACATCCTCCCCGGCGCCCTGCGCCTCATCCAGGAGCTGCGGCCGCACTGGAGGCCCGAGCAAGTTCAGACCAAGGTAGAAGAGAGCGGGCGCGGGGCGGGGACCGGGGCCCTGCCGGGGCTGGAAGCGGGATGCGATGGCCTTCTGTCCGTGCATCCTTCCGGGTGACCGGCCGAGGGGTGCGCAGCTTCTGCGCAGGAGAGAGGTTTGGAACGGTGGTTGATGTGTGTATTTGTTTCTCCATCTATTTTGGTCCCTATGCAAAGCTAGGCTCACACCTCCCTCGCCTCTCCACACACATCCCCCTTCTCTTGGGGCTCTCAGGCACGCTGTAGGGCCACCTGCCTGGTGGCAGTATGCTGCACGTGCAGGTCCCACCCCTTGTCTCTGCGTGCTGGTGCCCCTCGATGCCCAGAAGCGCGTACCCAGCTAGCTCTGAAACCTGAGGAGGCAGTAACTTTTGAGTGACCCCCCCCCCCCCACTGACACACACTGCTGCCCCTTCTCCATCCCTGGGGGAAGAAAAGTCTCTAGGCCCAGCTGCCCCAGCCGGCCCATGAGCCATCCTGTGTAATTCCTGCTAGCACTGAGCCCCTGTGCTGGGTGAAGCCCTCCCCGTCACTGCAGGCTCCAGCTCAGCGGCCCACACAGTGGGCTCCTTCCCCACACCCAGCTGGGCGAATCCTCTGGGGCGCAGATGTGGGCACAGCCTCTCACTGAGGAGCTCCAGGCTGACTCCCCAGCTGACCAGCATTCTTTGAAAAGAAACCTTCATCTGCCTCCCACCAACGTCTCCCCTGACCCGTTGGCCCCCGCCCCCAGCCTTCTCCACTCCGCTTCCTGCCCCCGCCCCCCGCCTCCCCCACCCTTGCCGGGGGCTGCCTGTGGAAGAAGGTGCCCTGAGTGAGGGTGTTCATTCATTCAGTGCTTACAGCTTGTGATGGAGAGCTATAGGGCCCCAGGCTGCTGGGCATTCTGAGTGGGGAAAGTCAAGCTTTTGGGGAGGTTCAGAACCTGGTGTGGAGGCTGACAGACCCCTGGGCTGAGGTGGGGGGTGGAGGGTTGCATTTGCAACATAAAAGGCCCAGTTTGGTTAAGACTGTCAAGGCCTCATATAGGCCTCTGGTTAATTCTGGCCTGATCTAACATGCCATCTACCAGTTTCTGCCCTCTCTGGGCCTCAGTTTCCCCGTCTAGAATTGGTGCAGCTGTCCTGTAAGGTCCTTTCCAGCTTTCACACTGTGCCCTGTAAATTCCATGGTTCTTCCTTGTCACCCTACCCAGAGAGCTGCTCTCCCAGCCTGGTGTCTCCTGCCTCTTCTGGTATGGAACTCTGAGAGGCCCTAAGGACTTCTGATCCCCAAAGGCCTGGGGTGGGTGCCAACCTGGGTACCCGGCTTTTACCTCTGCCACTGGATGGGGCAAAAGGTACAGGCCCTCTGCCTGGCCAGCTGTGAGAGGCAGCTGGGCCAGAATAGACTTTCCTGGGCGACTCCCTGCCCTCTTCTGCCACGTTCTGATCTGTGGGGGTTCCTTTCAGGCCGGGGAGTAAGGATGGGGAGGGGACTCATCTACCCACCAAGTAGTGTGGCAGTTTGTCCACTGCCAAATCCCATCCGCTAGGGACAGACCAGGAGCCCTGGTGGAGCAGTGGTTAAGCGTTCTGCTGCCAACCAAAAGGGCGGCGGTTCAAGCCCGCCAGCTGCTCCGCAGGAGAAAGACGTGGCAGTCTGCTTCTGTAAAGATTACAGCCTTGGAAACCCTTTGGGGGCAGTTCTACTCTGTCCCATAGGATCGCTATGAGTTGGAATCAACTCCACAGCAACGGGTTTGTTTTTTTTTGGTTTAGAGACAGACCCAGGAGAAGTGAATATGCCTGGGCTAGGCCCAAGCTACCATTTTTTTCTTGGACTATAGTCTACCCCAAGCGTTAGGGAGAGGGTAGAGCATTAGGAACAGTGCTGAGCTCTTTATTAACTGGGAGAACTAAAGGGCTGGGGGTTCTGTGTGATCTGCTGGAACGGGGGCAATGGGGAGAGACCAGAGAGATGCTGCCCCCGCTCATGTGCTGCCCTCTCTCCATGCTAGCGCTTCACCGATGGCATGACCAACAAGCTGCTGGCTTGCTATGTGGAGGAGGACATGCGGGATTGTGTGCTGGTCCGGGTGTATGGGGAGCGGACGGAGCTGCTGGTAGACCGGGAGAATGAAGTCAGAAACTTCCAGCTGCTGCAAGAACATGGCTGTGCCCCCAAACTCTACTGCACCTTCCAGAATGGGCTGTGCTACGAGTACATGCCAGGCATGGCCTTGGGGCCCGAGCACATCGGGGAGCCCCGGCTCTTCAGGTGAGAGGGCACCCAGAGCACTGTTCCTCTCCGCTGTCCCTCAGGCCTGGGGCTTTGAAATCCTTGGCTAGCTTCCTTGGTGTGGAGTGGGTCCATGGTTGAGAGTCATCAGATCTGTGACGTCCCTGAAATTGCATGAAAACCACGTGCGTTTCTGTGCACCACACTGCAGGGAGGGACTGCAGCTTTCTGTGGATTTACAGCAGGCTCTGCTAGAAGGATGGGTTCTGGGGGAGGAAAGTGAGAATTTTGGTGAACACGAGACCAAAGGAGCTGGTTCCCTGGGGATTAGCAGCAGGAATCTACTTCCTGGCCCCAAGGCTCAGCCCTCTATCCACTCCAGGTCTGACCTGGAAACATCTCAGAGCCTTGGAAATGAAATCTGAGCCAAATCCCCAAGGCAGTCAGGGTTCCCTGCCCCTCCCCTCCTTGGGCCAAGAACTCAGATGCGAGTCTGTGGCCCTGCCCAGCGTGGGCTTGGTTCTGCAGCCGAGGGAGACACCATCCCTCCTCCCCGGCCCTCCTCCCCGTCTGAGCTCCTTCTGGGCTCCCTGACAAAGTGGGAGCCCAGCTTTGGGGAGCTGCCAGTGCTTCCTTCCAGAGGCTCCCAGGGACCCATGGCCCTCTGGAGGCCGCTACTACTAAACGCCTGGATGTGTAGGGCCTGGGAACTGGATGTAACCTGCAAGCCCTGTGGGTGCTGTGGGGCCTTGGGTGGGCGTGGGAGAACAAAAGAAGAGCCTCTGATACCCTCTCTCCTCTGACGGTGCCAGGGCAGGGATGTGGGCAGAATCCTCCTTCCTCCCTCCAGTGCCAGGCCACTCAGGCTGTGGTGAGGCCCCGGCTGGCTGAAGCTTACCCCAGCAGCAGGGACAGCAGCACAGGGGTTGGCCTATGACCTGGGGCTGTGTCCTGTCTGACCCAAGGGGAAGGAGACCTCTGCGTAGTGAGGGGAAACAAAACCCACCCTGGGGGGAAGCCAGGTCCCTAGGAGCATAGACGATTTGTGCTGAACTATTAACCAAAAGGTTGGCAGTTTGAACCTGCCCAGTGGTACTTGCAGAAGAAAGGCCTGGTGATCTGCTGCCATAAATATTACAGCCAAGAAAACCCTATAGAGTAGTTCTACTCTGTAACACATGGGGTCTCTATGAGTCGGAATCCACTTGACAGCAAGGGCTTTTGGTTTTAGCAGGTAAACCAAAAAGCTTGGCCCTATTTGCAAATCCCCCCATCTCTACTCCCCTGCTCCACCCCATCCTCCATGGACTTGGAGGAAAGGAAGCTGAGAAGTACCCCCTCATGCTCCAGAGCACTGCCTCTGGGGCTAGTGGAGCCCCAGGATATTCATGCTGGCATGTGTGTGTCTGGGGAGGGGACTATACACGCCTGTGCAAGGGTCATCTCAGGCTCCAGCTAAGCGGCTCCAAAGCACCCAGCCTGGAGATACGTGGCACAGGGAAGGGTAGGGGGCGGTCCTGGCCTCACCGTACTCCTCTCAGCTCTCCTCAGTTTTGTGCAAATAAGCTCAAGTGTTGGCAGGTCCTCACTGCTCCCAGCCTCCCCCCACCTCTATGAATCTGATGCTGTCACTCATTCTCTCATGGAAATAGTCGTCATTGTCAGGAAGATTGAAGATGGATTTAGGTTCGATAACAAGAAGAACTGTGCATTTGGAGGAGGGAGGGCCAGAAGTTGGGATCAGTGTAGGAGGTAGGCCCTTCCTTGATGATTTTCTCAGGATAGACATTGATCTCGCGGGGGTGAAGGTGGGTCTCTGAGGTAAAGGAAGGAGAAGGCCTGGGGGGTCACCCTCCCCATGTTCTCCTGAACTCCACCCCCAATCTCCATCTGCAGAGGCTTTGCAGCATAAAATGCTGAGTGTTGAGGTTACATCCATTGCTATTCCAGACAACAGCCCTATTGATATTCAAGGAAAGGCTCTGTTCATGCTCTGTTCGGAATCTTCCTTTGGGAAGGGAAGGCCTGGGTGTCAGGTCTGTTCTGCTGCCTTGTCCAAACCCTGGCTGCTCCCTCCTGCCCCAGGGCCTCTGGCCTCTGAAAGCGCAGCCTTCTTCCCTCACCCACTCCCTTGCTGACAGGCCCCTGCTCCCTCCACCCTTCCGGGGGTGAGGGCCTTGGGGGCTTCTGGAGGAGCTCAGAACCTGTCCTGTTTCCCGGTGAGGTATGGCCTGCCCCTTCCCAGGGCCTGGCAAGGGGAGGGGGTGTCACTGGAACAGCTTGGTAACAAGGTTTCAAACAGCCAATGCCTTTGTTGTCTTTCCCAGTGACTATTATTCAAGCAACAGGCAGAGGCAAAGGGAGCGTGAATGCTGGAGGCTTGGCAGACGACTGGGGGTGGGGCTTAAGAAGGGAGGACTGGCAGAGGACTGGGTGAGCCCAGCTGGGATGCTAGGACGATGGGGTCCTTATCAAGGCCTTCCCCCTCTGACCTGTCAGGCTTCCATCCACCCCTACCTCCTCTCCAGCAACCTTCTCCAGTGATGCTTTCTTCTCTCCCCACCACCCCCTCCTTCTCTCCCGGGACCTTGGATAATGTCCATGGGAGAACTTGAAAATAGAACGCTGGCTTGTTTTTGCGTCCTTGGCACCCAGCCGCCGGCATCAACTCCCTGCAGCCGAGGAAGGGGCTGCCCTGGGCCAGCCTGTCTCCCTACTCACCTTGGCCAGCCTGATAAGAGGCGGGCATTTCTTCCCTGCCTGGCATCACCACCCCCTGATCCCTTGGAGGGAAGTGCCCTACCCTCACCTCCCACCCAGAGGATGGGTCGGAGTCCAGGGGAAGGAGAAGGACTGCCCCCACCCTCAGATGCCCCCTGTTCCCAGGGGTTACTGTGGATCCACATCCTTGGGGTGGGGCAGGTCATTGACCCCGGCCAACAGCCCACTGCTTTGCTCTTTCACTCCTCGAGCTTCCCTGGCTATGGTTATGGAAAGGGAGCTGCTGGGCTAAAGGTCTTACTTCATTTTCATGCCTTCTGCTGAGACCTTTCTTCTGCAAGACCCAGGGCTCATAAGAGACTAGTAACAGTCCCAACCTTACTCCTCTGGCGGTTCCCCAATGGACCCTTTAGGGCCCCTTTCTGGTCAGGAGACTCTAAGCTGGGGAGGGCATGCCCCAGCACTGATACTCTCTTCCTGTTTCTGCTGTAGGTTAATCGCATTAGAAATGGCAAAGATCCACGCCATCCATGCCAACGGCACCCTGCCCAAGCCCACCCTCTGGCACAAGATGTATGACTATCTCACCCTTGTGAAGAATGAGATCAACCCCAGGTACAAAGATCTGGGAGGGCCCGAGGCTGCCACCGGCTCTGCTGCCTTAGTATGACCCCCAGCCCCATTCTGTTGGTTCTAGCCCATCCCCACTGGGAATTAAGGCTCACTTCCCCCTGCAGCCCCTTCAGATGCGATTGCTGAGCCTCCATCTCTAAGCAGAGCTAGGCCAGTTGACTAAATGCCAGGAATTCAGATCAGCAGTTTCATACCTCTGTGCTCCTTTGTCCTTGGGTCTTCTGATTGTGGGGGGACTAAGGGTTGGGGACAGCTTCTCCCCATTTTACTCAGAGGATACTGAGTAAAAGTCAGTATTCTGTCACATGCACACATACATGCATACTTCACCTGAGGCTCAGAGACTAAGCTTTGCCTAATGTCACAGGGCTAGTCAGAGGCAGGACTTCTGTTTCCCAGCGGTAGGCTCTTTCTACCTGACCTGGGCACTTTCTACATGACCTGCCTTCTGAACAAAGGGAAGGGCAGGGCCTTCTAAGAATGGGGTGCAGCTGAGTTCAGAGTCAGTCAGAAGAATTCAACCCATCAGCTGGCAAGCCTTTGGGACATCATAATTCCTTTTACTTGCCTGGACTGCTCTTGTCCCCATGTGCCTTTGGGGACCCTGCACCCCACCTTGGTCAGACTGACAACTTGCTGTTTCCTAGGGAAGGAGGCACTCCACCCATCCTGACATTGCCTTTCCCCAGATAAGATGGGGTTCTGATTCGCTGAGCCTTCCCTTAAGCTCCCTGGCCAGCACCCCAAGAGTCCTGCTACCCTTCAGATACCTGACTCCCCAGCGTGCCCTTGAACGCTGAGAAAAGGATGGCATGGAAAAAAGGACACGGCTACCCCTCCCCTTCCAAAAAAGGGCAGTGGTGAGTCTCTGATCCCTCCGTTTCTCCCAGGGGGGACTGAGCATCATTTTTGTTCCAAAAGTTCATGGGACTAGAGTACAGAAGAGGTTTGGGGGCAGGATATCTCTTTCCCTCCTCTAAGATGACAAGACAATAGTGAACTCTGTTCCTGTAGTGAGTGTGTCTCTGTCACATGTACACACACAGACACGCATGACTTCACCTGGATCCTCCCACTTCACTGATTATCAAGCACTCCTTTGCGACTATTTGTCCAGGGTGACCCAAGCCTGCCCTCTCCCTGACCATGTTCAGACCTTCTTGTCAAATGGCATCTCTGGGACAGGACTGCCCTCCCCTTTGGACTAGGACAGCACATGGAGCACAGGATCCTCTTGTGTCAGAGCCACAGGGTCCTCTGATCACCCAGCCCACCCCCTTCATTTGACGGATGGAAAAACTGAGACCCACAGAGGGGATGGGACTTGCCCAGGGTCAGTGCTGATCGGTGGCAGCTCAAGGACCAGAGGCCAGGCCTCCTGATGCTCAGACATGATCCTTGATTCTGCAGCTTCTCTTGACTGCACTGTCACTGGGTCACCCTGGGGGAGGGGGTGGTCCCTGGAGAAGAGCTGACCAATTTGCTTTTCTCTTGTCATACCTTTGACCTTGGGTAAATCAAGTTGCTTAACTTCTTTGATCCTGCCCTAAACTTGCCTAATCTGCCCCAAAACAGGGCAATGATGAATTCCAGTCATTGCCTAATACTCGTGATTTATGAAGGAATCTTCATTTCACAAAAATGGATTGATCGGTATTTAAAACAATAAAAGGCACGAATTTGAC